GTTCCCTTGCTGTTCTGTTGCACCCCCTTAGTGTTTTGCCTTGGTGTGGTGGGATCAGATCGGCGCAATTCCCACACTGTCTCCAGTGTTGTCCTCTGTAGGGCCATGGGTCAGTGAGAGACATCGTGTCTCATAGTGGAGCCGGCCACGTGGTCCTTTCTGTGGACTGGCTGCTCTGTCCACACTCTTTTTCTAATTGTTGGAGCTGTTGGGTTAAGGTGTTGATTTTGAAGCTTCCTTCTTTTTTGATGTGTATATTTATTGCTATAAATTGACCATGGAACCCTGCCTTTACTCTGCCCCAAAGGTCTTGATATGCTGTGTTTCATTATCATTTGATTCTAGGAATTTAAAATTTTCACTTTTTATCTCTTCTATTACCTCTACTTATATCTTCTTTTACTTAAGCAAGGTGTTATTCTGTTTCCATGTATTTATATTTCCCCCTAATATTCCTATTCCTGATTTCTAACTTTATAGCATTTGATCTGAGAAGATGCTTTGTATTACAAAGGTAAGTCACAATATATGAGGGGGTACCCCAAAAAACCCTGGAAAAAGCTCTGCTGGGCCGAGTTTTCATAGCATGCATTTTTGCCACTAGGCGAGCATTGAGTAACTCGCTCTGAGTTAGTGCCCCTAGTGGTGTTGCCTGGGAAGGTTCTCTGTGCTCACTGAATTTTTTTATAAAAGCAATTTTGCTAAACCTCATTTTTTGCCTGGCCAATTTAAGAGAACAGCCTGCGGTTGTGAAATTTTGTTTCTTTCATGGGAAATATGGCGCAGTAACTTGTGATGTTGAACACAGCTTAAAAAGACAGCACTGAGAAAAACTCAAGTGTACGAGTGGTTTTCTCATTTAAAACAAGGTGAAGTGTAGATTAATGACAAATCTCACTTTGGACATCCATCAACTTCCCAAATGGATGAAAATGTCAACAAAATTCGTGCACTTGTACTCAAGACAGACAAGAGACCATTGAAGAAAAGGTGAAGTTATCTGGCCTAAATTTGTCTCGGGTTCTGACTGACCAGGAAAAAGAACGTTGAGTGGAAACATGCTGGTGCTTTGAAATAACAGCTCCAAAGTGACCCAGACTTTTTTCCTAAGGTCATTACTGGTGACGAGACATGGTGCTATTTTTATGACCCTGAAAGCAAACATCGTCATGCCAGTGGAAGAGACCAGCATCACCTCACCCAAAAATAGCTTGTCAAGTGAAATCAAAGATCAAAACAATGCTCCTTAATTTTTCTTTTTATTTGGAGGTTTATTCCACAAGGTCAGACTGTTAATCATGCTTTCTATTTAGAGCAGCAGTTCTCAACCTGTGGGTCTCGACCCCTTTGGGGGTCAAACGACCCTTTCACAGGGGTTGCCTGATTCATAACAGTAGCAAAATGACAGTTATGAAGTAGCAATAAAAATAGTTTTATGGTTGAGGAGCTGTATTAAAGGGTCATGGCCTTAGGAAGGTTGAGAACCACTGATTTAGATGTTCTGAAAAGATTGTGTAACAGTGTGCAACAAAAAAGGCTTGATTTGTGGCAGACAGGGGACTAGTTTGGCTACCATGACAATGCACCTGCTTACACAGTCATCTCAGTGCACCAGTTTGTAACAAAAAACAGCACACCTCTCTTGCCCCACGCACCTGACTCACCTGAACTTGCTCCATGTGACTTCTTTTTGTTTCCACAAATGACGAGGGACATGAAAGGATAGTGATTTGACAATGTAGAAGAGGTGAAGAAAAAAGCGAGGGAGGTGCTGTCAGCCAACCTAATAAATGAGTTTGAACAATGTTTCGAAGAATGGAATGGTAATTTGACAAAGAATTAAGTGTAATGGAGGGTACTTTGAAGATGATAAGCTTGTTTGGCTAAGAGAGGGCTACAGGGCTTGCCTCAATCAGAGTCAAACTGACCCCTCCTTAGACCCTATACTGGTACACCAAGCCCTGAGGACTATGGCCCGGCCCGGAGCTGCTAACGTACAGAGAGGACTGTAGGGCCGACAACAGCTTAAGACATGATGTCCGCCCCCAGTGGAATATGAAAGAGGACAATACTGGGGACACACAGTGGGGAGTGAGTCTGGTCTGATTCCCCACCCCCACCCCTACCCCCCAAACAGTGGGGCAAACCAAGAAGGGAACATAACAAATCAGCAATGAGAGCAAAGCCAAGCCAGAAAACTCCTGAGAAGCCCCAAAAGCAGAGTTCAGTCTAGGAGGGGCAGTTCCCAGAACCCCCCTAGGACCAGTGGGGAGATAGTCATAAAGGTCAGCGGACAGACCTGGAATTATGTATCCTTTTTTGTTTTCTTTCTCTTTTTCTTCGATCTTTTGTTTTCCTTTTGTTCTGTCTCTATGATTGTTGTTTTGCCTACCTATATAAGACAGGCAACAGAAGCAAGCCCAAAGAAAACCAATGGGACTGGCGGTTCCCAAGGGACTTGGGGGGAGTACGAGAGGGGAAAGGAGGCGGTGCGCAAACAACGCCAAAGACAAGGGAACAACAAGGGAATTAAAACCAGCAAGGAGGACGTAGAGATCCTGATGGTGTAGGAGCAACAGCAATCTAGCTTGAGAGGAATTACTCAGAGGCAGAAGAAGGGTGGGACACGATGTGTTAGTTTGGGTACTTCAGAGAGACAAATCCACAGAAACACGTGTATAAGAGAGAGTTTTATATAAAGGGTAAGTGCACATCAAGAAAACATCCCAATCCAGTGCTGCCCAAACCCACAAGTCCAACATTAACCTATATGTCCACCACCAATCCACAAAGTCCTCCTCCACCTCACAAAACACACACTATGATACCGATTGCAGGAGGAAAGTCGAATCAGTGAACCTGTAAGCATCTCAGTGCTGGCAGGGGTCTCCAGCACCCAGGGCTGCATCGGGGTAGGTTCATGTGGCTTCTCCTCAGGGATGTCTTGCAGGAAGTGAGCCTTGCTGCTGAAGCAGGGAACTGGCTAAGGCAGCTGCACCCTGGTCCGACCATCAGAAAGTAAGAGACCCGAGAACTAGCAAGGTGAGGCTCACAGAGTCACTTATCTCTCTGCCCTTCAATTAACCCCACATGTGTTTATTGGCCAGGTTGTAACTATCTCAGAAGCCTTATCCAAGCCCTCCTACAGCCCTCATCTTGCCCCTTCAGATTTCTTTTTTGTTCCCCAAACTCAAAGAGCATTGAAAAGGCACATGGTTTGAATAGCTTGAGGATCCCCAAACTGCCGCCATGATGTAATGTAAATGGGAGAGTTTAGAACTCTTTGGGGAAAGGGTTAGAGAGATGGAAATACTGCCTTCAGAAGTATAGAAGCCTAGATTGATGCTTTATGGGAAAAAATAGCATCATCATTTGATATCTTTGCTTAATAAAGATCCCTGTGGTTTTATAGCAACATTTTTTGACCTACCCTTGTCTTTTGATGTTTGGGAAATTTATTGAGACTTGCTTTGTGACTTAACAGATGGTATGTTTTACAGGATGATCCATGTGCACTGGAAAAGAATGTGGGCTGCGTTTTCCTGGGTGAAATGCTCCGTGTAGGTCTAGAGTCATGGTTCTCAACCTGTGGGTCACGACCCCTTCACAAGGGCCGCCCGATTCATAACTGTAGCAAAATGACAGTTATGAAGTAGCAATGAAAATAAATTTATGGTTGGGGGGGTCACCACAACATGAGAAACTGTATGAAAGGGTCGCAGCATTAGCAAGGTTGAGAACCACTGGTCTAGAAGGCCAATTGGGTTCATTACGCTGCTTAGGTCTTCTGTGTCTTTGAATTTCTTTCCAGTTGTGCTGCTTAGCCTTCCCTGGAAGCGGCGTGTTAAAGTCCCCTACTACTATTGTTGACTGTTTTCAGTTCTGTTAAAGGGTATATATTTGGGGGCTCTTTCACTGGGTGCTTAGCTATTTACTATGGCATGTCCTCTTGCTGCATTGATCCTTTAACCATTTTACCCGTGTCAGTAAAAAAATAAAATTATAGGAATCTTTATTAAGCAGAAATATCAAAATGTGAAGCTGTTATTTTTCAACATAGCCTCAATGTAGGTCTCACTCAAATGTCCACTGTTTGAACCCACATGCCACTCCACAGGAGAAAGATGTAGCAGTCTGCTTTCTTAAAGACATCCAGCCTTAGAGACCCCATGGGGCAGTTCTACTCTGTTCTATAAGATTTCAGTGGACTCACAACATAGGTGTGGTCGAGGGTGGTATTTTTGTAGTCATCACTAGGTGGTAGTGCTACTGGCATGCTGCTAACATCTTACATCGTATAGGACATTCTCTCTGCTTCGCGTAGTGATCAGATCCAAAATGCCTGGGGTACCGTGTCTGAGACATCCTGAGCCAGATGTCCACGAACTTTAAAGGTCTTTTGCTGGCAGGCAGTGCTTGGACTTTTAAGTTTCTC